ACCACCATTAGAAATCGAATGTATGTCAATGCATGTATACACAAACAGAAAATACATTATAGCAAGACTATGGACGATAGCAGAAAGGAAGTTTAAACACTTTCAACTCAACTACATGTGTACAGTATGATTTGGAATTAAGACATGATGCACTTAAAGTAATGTCCTAACCCTTCTGTACCAATGACACTTAATGTAATGTTCTTCCCCTTTGATGTACCCTTTGGCAATTCTTGGCATTAACTTTCAGATGCTTAAAACGCGTCACCGACATAGTTAAGTATATGTTTCCCTAATATAAATGAGATCGAATCTTGAAATAGAAAACTTTAAATGAGGACATAAATAATGAAGTCTCTAAAACTAAAGTCAAAGAAGATAGCTTAAACATAAGGAATAATTCTACCACTAATTTTTAGTAGCTACTGGGGATCAAGATTCCACTTCCCAGTACATATTTAAGTTTATGAGCCTACCTTCTTGTATCCTTCTATTGGACCAGACAGAGATAAAATTCCACTACGAAGGTAACTTACATAATTGGACGTTGGGGCCAACAAAATGAAGTTTTCAAATAGATCAATAACAAGATTTACCTTAGTGATTAGACAAGCCTTCTCCATGTGATTAACAAAACTATAGGAGCTTTCATACAACTCTACAACCAAAACTCACACGCCAAAAACACTTAAACCGAGGTTTTTAACATGATTGGCATGTGGCCAGATTAATCCCAAGTTCTTTTTTTCTTTTATTGGCCTGAATCACTCTCCCGACTTGTACTCATAAATCACCATTGAAACAATTCAAAAATGTTATCACTCACTCTATTAGGCATTTCATCCCATCCAAAACCATGAAAACAAATTACATAAATCCTAATATATGGGCTGTGAATTCGAACAAATATCTTCGCATGAAATAAATCTTAGTTACAAACCTATCATTTCATTTACAGGTTGACATTGGATACTCTAAATAAGTTACACACAGCCACCAACCAATATCAAATTCAATTCTTCAAATTGTGTTAGAAGCAATTGGCCCTACATGGGGTCCGCCATTAATGTGAGAAGTGTTAGTGGGTAGTCTTGTCTCTGTAGTTTCATGTTTCCGATCGACTTTTGAAAAAAGATGCAAACTTTGATATTTTACAGAGTTCGATGTACGGAAATAGAAAGAAAAAAACTGAAGATGCAATTTTCAACCAATTAGATATCCATTGTAAAAGCAAGTGTTTACCTTCTCTTTAGTAACTCGACAGAGGTTTCATGGCGGCTACGGTAATGCGAGCGGCGACGTCGTCTTGGGAATTAAGTTTAGGGATTTTCTCTTGTCGAATTGATTTGGGGATTTTTGCCGTAATAACCGCAATCAATTTCTCGATAGGCAATGGGTCGGGTTATAATCAGATTTGGGCCATACGAGTTTTGCTGTGGTCCAAAAAGATGTGGCTACACATTCCATTTTTGGACTTTCGACTATTGACCCACAACATTGAAAGTCAAACCGTTGACCGCAACATAACTTTCTTCCTTTTTTTTCTTTGTTTTCGTTTTAGTTTTTCATAATATTCCAAAGTTGAGTCCCCTCCGTAAATTTTAATTTTAATGTTAGAGACATCAAAAGGATTTGCGTGAAATTGTAGGTGGGGGAGACAAAAGCAGCACGTAAGGAAATTGATCTATAATTGGCATTCAGTGTCTGGAAGTAACATCATTTATAGTATTTTTCTGAAGCCAGAAATTTGATGTACAATAAACAAATACATATGGGTTTGGAAGCTCCTGAATGCCAGTGAGGAAAAAGAGTCAAAACCATGCAGGCAAAGCTTTCATCCCTTTCACCCTTTTTCCATTACAAGCCAAGGCCTTCCAGCTCTCATGAAGTGAAAAAAAAAAACACATAAAAAAACCAATTTGAAGTCAGGATCAAGTACACATATTTGATTTTTGGCCGGCCCAAAACAAACAAAAACATGTAAATGCTTTCTTTTTTATTATTGGTGTAGATTTGTCATGGCTTTGTCACATAATAAAAGGACATGGGTCCTTGTTTTGTCATCATCTTGTTTGGAATATGAACCGGTAAACAAGAATTAGAGCCGGCTTAGAAAACTTCAACTTGGACTGGAAAAGTAGAGCGTACAAATTAGTACTGAGGAGGAGGAAGATACATTCCTCTTGAAACACACTGGCTTTGATTGGATTGGATGGCCTTAGATGGGATTCTGCAACTCTTCTTAGTGGGATTGGTTGTATTAGCAGCTGCAGAAGCTCAAGCCTTGCCTGGCTGCCCAAACCAATGTGATAGATGAGATTATTCTGCAACTCTTCTTAGTGGGATTGGTTGTATTAGCAGCTGCAGAAGCTCAAGCCTTGCCTGGCTGCCCAAACCAATGTGGAAATTTGTCAATTCCATTTCCATTTGGCATAGCTAAAGGCTGTTACCTCAGAGATGAGTTTTTCATTGATTGTAATGAAACCAACCAAACCCCAACACCATATTTGAATGGAACTGGGATCCCAATTTCCAACTTATCCCTTAATGGTGAGTTACAAATAATGCAATTTGTAGCCAGGGATTGCTATGACCAAGATGGTTCTTTAGACACAAAACTCAGCAACAGCCCAAGGCTCCAGCTTTTCCCTCCTTACACAATCTCCGGCACCAAAAACAAGTTCATTGCCGTTGGTTGTGACACTTACGCAATCTTCAAAGGGGTCAGGGGCAAAGAAAAGTACATAACTGGGTGCATGACCTTGTGTGAGAGCCTTGGAAGCATTAGTGAGTCTTGCTCTGGCATTGGGTGCTGCCAAACTTCAATCCCAAGTGGACTTCAAGTGCGTACCGTGACAATGAGTAGCTACTACAATCATACATTTATATGGGACTTCAACCCCTGCAGCTACTCCTTCATTGTGGAAGAAGGCCAGTTCACATTCTCTAGTAAAAGTTTCCAAGAACTGAAATCTATAAGCCGGCTTCCGATGGTTCTCAACTGGGCAATTGGGGATGAACCATGTGATGCAGCTCAACATCGGCAGGATTATGCATGCAAGGGAAACAGCACATGTGTCAACCCCCACAATCTGTCTGGTTATTTTTGTGAATGCTTGCCAGGTTATGAAGGAAATCCATACCTCCCAGACGGTTGTCAAGGTACTGATTATGATCTCTTAGATACATCTAATTTGATAATTATGAGCCTTAAATATGTGTTTGCTAATGAAAATGGATCCTCTGTTCATTTCAGATACCGACGAGTGCCAGATTTCAAACCCATGCAGTGCAGGAGCGTGTGTAAACGTACTTGGAAATTATTCTTGTGTATGTCCAAAAGGTTTCAAAGGCGATGGAATGAAAGCTGGAACAGGTTGCAGCAAAGACAACCCCAGCAATCTTTTTAAGGGCATTCGCTTGCTTACTATTTCATTGGGTATGCACATCTGGTGAACTGTTAAAATGCATCCTATATTTATTTAAGTAGATTATTATACAAAATACTTATGAAATCAAATCTGGTTGTGATTTGCAGCTACGACAGTAGCCTTGTTGGTTTTGCTGGTTGGAAGTTCATGGACTTATTGGGGAAAGAAGAAAAGGAGGTTCATCAAACTCAAAGAAAAATACTTTCAAGAAAATGGTGGCTTGTTGTTGCAGCAACAACTCGCTAGTCGCGGAGGATCTGTGGAGACAACGAAAATTTTTACAGCGGAAGAACTCGAGAAGGCTACAAACAATTACCATGAAAGCAGAGTCCTTGGTGAAGGAGGATATGGAACAGTGTACAAAGGAATACTAGAAGATGACAAGGTGGTTGCCATAAAAAAGTCCAAGATTTGTGCCCCCGCTCAGAATGAGCAATTTGTTAACGAGGTGATTGTTCTTTCTCAAATCAACCATAGGAATGTGGTGAGGCTGTTAGGTTGTTGTTTAGAGACGCCGATGCCATTGTTGGTTTACGAGTTCATCATCAACGGGACTTTGTCGGAGCATATTCACAACAAATGCAGAGAATCTTTACTTTCATGGGAGCTGCGGCTGAAGATAGCCGCAGAAACTGCAGGAGCACTGGCATACTTACACTCCTCCACTTCCATGCCAATCATACACCGAGATGTGAAAACAACGAATGTACTATTAGATGAAAATTACATAGCGAAAGTGTCCGACTTCGGAGCTTCACGGTTGATTCCTCTAGATCAAGCTCAAATAACTACTTTAGTGCAAGGAACACTAGGGTACTTGGACCCTGAATACTTCCATACAAACCATCTAACAGAAAAGAGTGATGTCTATAGCTTCGGAGTTGTCCTTGTAGAGCTACTAACAAGCAAAGTGGCACTTTCTTTTGCCAGGCCTGAGGCAGAGAGAAATCTAGCGAGCTTCTTTGTTTGTTCGGTGGAAGAGGGTCGCTTGAATCAAATTCTTGATGAAGACATAGTCAATGAGGGAAATATTGAGACACTTAAAGAAGTGGCTGATCTTGCAAATAGATGTTTAAGGGTAAAAAGGGAGGAAAGGCCTACCATGAAACACGTAGCCATGGAGCTGGAGGGGATGAGGATTATGGCAAAGCATCCATGGGGGAAGGCCAATTTCGGCCCAGAGGACACTGAATACTTGCTTGGGTCAGCTTCAATGGCTTCTGTTAGAGGTGACAATTGTTCTAGTACCAGTACAACTACTGATGCAACTACTGTGTACGACAGCATACGAATCGAAATCGAAATGTTAATGCGACACAACGGGCGATAGCTTCTCAACTGGTCAATAGTGATGTAATGTAGGAAATCTTACCAATATTAGTTTGTTTTGATTTTGAGACAGTGCCTCATTTAAGAAAAGGGCATACAGAGCACATACTACACTGTACTGCGTTGTAAAGTTATGTGGAAAAATAAATTATAACAAGAAGAATGAGTGAAGATTAACACAAAACTACTCAGGCACCCATGAAATAAAATTAGAACACAGTATATTTAAAACCCTGTCAGCTCAGCTTGCATTTCTCGTGATGGAATTGGAGAACAAAATTTAACAGGAAAATGTTGCTGTCTACAATATATGAAATTTCAAAGTTACACATTTCGGGAAAAGCAATTAATTTGCCAGCTCAATCTAATTTGTTTATTCTCAAAAGACACAAGAATCACCTAGATCAAAATCCTTAACCTGTTCATTACAGTGAAAACCATTATCATGAACCTTGCAATAAAATTTGAAATAGAAATACAAGAGAAGCACAACCTAATCAAATCCCTTTGTTTAAAATGGAAACCCTGCTCAAGGAGATGAGGAAACTAACATAAACGTTGTTGTAGTGTAGCTGAAGGTTGAAAAATTGCTCCTACTTGAGCAGCAGGAGATCATCTTATCTGGGTAGGAGAACAGAGCAACCCAGATGCATCCGCTCCAACCACTGCAAGATCACAAACAGTACAGAGCTGCCCTTCCTGGGCCAGAACAAACCGAGAACTGCAGTACGGGCATGAAACATCCTTCTGCCCACGGTAAATAGGCACATATGTTGCACCACAAACCACAAATGGGTTTCTGAAATCGTAATTTAGCTGGGTTGCATCATTCATGTTCTTCTCGGCAGCCTGGAGGACTTGTCTTGCTGTCTTTGCATGGTTTTCAGTGGTGGGATTGGTCTCCAAAAGTCGCCTGGCAAAGTTGGCTGCTGTGTTGAGATTACCAGCCTTAAAGCAAACACTCATGGCATTCAGTAATGCAAGTCTCAAGTGAGGCGTCTGAAGGGTACAGTGGTTGCGAGTTTTTGTATATATCAGGAAATGAAGAACAGAAAGTTCAACAAACTCAAACAAAAATACTTTGAAGATAATGGTGGCTTATTTTTAAAGCAAGAACTGGCCAGTTATGCTGGATCTGTTCGGACAGCAGCCAGAATTTTTACTGAAGAAGAACTTAAAAAGGCCACAAACAATTATCATGTAAGCGGAAAAATTGGTGAAGGAGGCTATGGAACTGTTTACAAAGGAATACTGTCAAATGAACAAGTGGTTGCCATAAAGAAGTCCAAAGTAAGTGGCCCAATTACCGAGAGTAGGCAATTTGTTAACGAGGTGATTGTTCTTTCTCAAATCCACCATAAAAATGTTGTGAGACTCCTAGGTTGTTGTTTGGAGACCCAAACACCAATATTGGTTTACGAGTTCATCGCCCATGGCACTCTTTATGAGCACATTCATAGAAAGAACAACAAAGGAACATCACCCTTATCATTGCCATTACGATTGAAGATAGCATCAGATACAGCAGAGGCACTAGCTTACTTGCACTACTCCACTTCTACCCCGATCATACACCGAGATGTGAAAGCAACAAATATACTTTTAGACGAAAACTACACGGCAAAAGTATCCGATTTTGGAGCTTCACGATTGGTTCCTGATCAAGATGAAAACAAACTATCAACTTTTGTGCAAGGGACAGTCGGATACTGATGTAGGACGAAATATGGTCAATTATGGCACTAAGAAAAAAAGGAAGGCGTATCATTGGGATTTTCTAAATGATTGAAGAAGAATTGTGTCATATGGTGGCTTTTGGGTTTTTAAGGTCGTTTGGCCTTCCAAATCTGCATTTAAAGAGTTGTAATCAATTTTTCAGTTTTTGATTTATTTCCCCTTTAATTTCAATAACTCCCCTTTAGTAGCTCAAAGGGTGAGAAGGTTGTATTTAGACGTTTCTGAGGTTCTTTGGAGATTCAGTTTTTATGAATCAAATAATTCAAAGAGAATTTTCTCTCCAATTTCCTGGTGGATTCCAGATTATCGTTCTTTAGGATTTTCGCTTGAAAATCTATTTGCTTGTGCTGCGTCAGATACTTAGACCCTGAATATCTTCAGTCAAACATACTAACAGAAAAGAGTGACGTCTATAGTTTCGGAGTTGTCCTAGTGGAGCTACTCACAAGCCAAAGGGCTCTTTGTTTTGAAAAGCCTGAGGCGGAAAGAAACCTAGCAAAAGTCTTTGTTTCCTTGTTGGACTCGGATCGCTTGGGTCAAATTCTTGATGATGAAATAGTAGAGGGACACTTTGAGAGAGTCACAAAAGTGGCCGATCTGGCAAAAAGATGCTTAAGGCTAAGAGGGGAAGAAAGGCCCTCCATGAAAAAAGTAGCTGCAGAGCTCGATGGATTAGTGCCAACTATGGAACTGTATCCAAGTGGAGGAAAGCCTAATTTCCCTCGAACTCACAAAGATACCGACTACTTGCTTGGGTCACCTGTTTCAAGCTCTTCACTTGTGGATATCAGAGGTGAAGGTGATGCCGGTAGTTATAGTAGTATTTTAATCGGTGCAGATTATGAGAGGAGCATGCAAAATCAAATCCAGATGGTAACGCCTTACGGAGATGGGCGATAATCAGTTGATTTGTTGTTCCTGGTAATGTTCCTCATAAAATAGAACTTGTTGTTCCTGGTGTATTGTGGGCGGTAGAACTTTGTTTGTGTGCCTGCAGAAATAAAAGAACAAAAGGTTCCTCGTTTGTTTCCCACTAATTTTATCATCAATCATCTATTGCAACTTTGTTGTGTGCTTGCAGAAATAAGAGAACTAAAAGGTCCCTCGTTTGTTTCCCACTAATTTTATCATCAATCTTGAATTTATAATTTGATATATCAAGTACAAGCTTATCATATATGGTCTCTCCACCAAAAAGAAGAAAACAAAAATTCTTCTTTACATTTTTCATCAATCCTGAATGGCATTTGCGCACTAATTTTAAATTTGAAACAGAGCAAAGTTGTTGGCTGGCATTACCCATAAGCTTCTTGAATTCGTTCTTCTTTGCGAGTGTTCTAAAAATTGTAGCATATTGGTTTTCTAGAGTAAGAGGGTAATATGAAAATGGAGACAGGGTAATAGCTAGGAGAACAAAAACATGTATCACTGCCACAAAGACTGGAACATTATTGGATCAGACAAATTTGTAGAGGAAGATCATGTATTACCCCTAATCCATGACTTAGAGCCACCCCATACCAGTCTTTACTGCGCAAGAACTTACAAATGCCACAAACAATAGATTGACTTGCTGCTACTGATGTATGTTTAGGAAATTTAGACCAATATTAGTTTGTTTCAGTTCGAGCCAGTGCCTCAGGAAATAAATCTATGTTAATATCTTGTACCGTGGGTTGTAAAGTTATATGGTCCTCACTTGTAATCCATTGTAGTTTTTCGTGCATAATACTACATTTGTCATGTTCCAAGTTGGTCTTCTATATTTATGGATGTTATGAATTGAAGATTTTCAGATTGAAAAGCACGTAATCGTTTAAGAAATTAACATGATTAAATAAGGTTTAGGGAAATGAACTAAGGAGAAAGGTTGATTTATGTGCAGAAGAGACTTGATTTATGGGTGCTTTGGCTCAGTATTGCCAGTGATTTATCAGTTTTCAGTCCGAGATGTGTTTGTGTGATTTAAAAATATCTAAAACTTGCAACAAAGAGAACTATTTTAGCAGCCCTAGACATGAACAATAACAGCAACAACAAAAAGATGTCACACCCTTGTCCAAATAAAGTGTGGTTGTAAATGTATGGATTTTGTAATTTTCTTTTGGCTTCCCTTGACAAGTTTGTAATAGGACAATCATTGTATTTTCTCAAGCTCAAGTTTAGATTATGAATTTCATCTCTAGGTGTGTTCTTATCTGGCTACATTATGATGGACAATATTGTGTTTGACAAAGGTATGTTTTGCATTGCATCACATTGCATTAACCTATTCCTGAAGATTATGACTAGTCATCCTTTCTCCATATGACTATTCAACTTTGCATTAGTAAGATTTTCCAGGTCACTATTTCCAGCTGGATCCTACCCACTTTTTTGGTCCTATTTTGTGAAATCCTCAGCTGCCATGTATCGATTCTAACCTAGGAATTTTTGGTAAAAGCAAAAGAATTCCTCATTTGGCAGCCGTCACTTTGGGGGACAAGTTTTGGAAAGTTTCATAGCAAACTTTCTCTTCTTCTTCCTCAAGAGTAACCTTCATATTTTTCATCTTTGAGTTTTCCAAATTGTTTCTTTTTGAAATATGAAAACTTCATCTTGCTAGATCAAACACTCTATCATATATATCTAGGTCAGATTCAAGATTGATTTCTTCAAGAGTATGGTTTCTTGAAGAAATTGGTTATTTTCTCCATGAATCCAACTTTCATTTCTGTCTGAGTTAGAGCTTGCAAGCTAGTGCCATGGGATGAAAGAGCTGGAGAAGGAGCTACCATTGTCATGAAGAACTGAGCTTCAAGCTTTGCTAAGTTGGAGAAGAAGATTGCACAAATGAGGTATAGCTCATCTTCCTAAATAGACCTAGGAATTTCTTGAGCTTGCTAGTGTTCTTTGTAAGAATCTTATTGCTTAATGGATTGCCTGGTCGGTTGATGACCTCCAGTTTTTCCCAATGGTGGGTTTCTGGGTGAACATTTTCTGGTTTCCATCTCTGTAAATTTTCTGGGTTTGTGTTCTTGATAGTTGACTAGTCATCTGGGTTTGTGCGGTTGACTAGTCATCTTTTTCTGTTGTTTGGTGTTTGCTTGATTATGCTGTCTTCACACACTTTCACCATAGTTATTGCTAGCACAGGGGATGCCTAGATTGACGGGTCCTTCTGAGTGCCTAGGTTGTCACTAGTAATTCTCTAGGCTTGCAGGTACATCTTGGTATGCTCTGTATGTTATTATTTGGTATAATTCATATCTGACAGTTGACTAGTCATAAGAGTATTTGGTCAAGGTCTAGAGTGTGTGAAGTTTGTTGCGTTCTTGGTTGAATATCTTTTAAATTTACCCCTCGTCACCTAAGTACCAATTTCAGTGGTAACAACATATATAAGGTAATGCTAAATGGGGTATTAAGGATGTCGTGGTTCTCCTTATACAGCCCAACTGATGTAGAACATATGAGGAAAGTAATTAAAGAGGAGCTGAAGCGACGTGCGGGCAAGGGCAAATCGTGCAAACTGCAGATTTTAGTTCCGAGCTAAGAATTAGACCCATTGTAACACCCTGACTCCAAATTCATTCCTATTTTAATTTAATTAAATGAAATTATGAATTTACCCTTGGGTTAAGGGTAATTTGTTTACCTAAACAATTAATTTGGATAATATTTTCAGATAAGATTTTTGGATTCGTACGTGTCAATATTTATTATAAAATTCATATCTCAATTGGATAAAATTTTGGTATTTATAGAAGAAAAAAATCAGTAATTTTTTGGTATTTTTTTTAAAAAAATTCATTTTTTTTTGCACAAAAATTGGCTGCCGTTGGATTGGAGAAAAAAATTTGATCGGAGAGCCCAGAGCGCGACACGTGGACTTTAGTGGCACTGTAGCGCGTAGCACTGTAGCACGTGGGCACTGTAGCGGCACTGTAGTGATGATGTCAGCACCAACCCTCGGGCTTGAGCTCGGGTTGAACTGGCCTGAGGGCCAGCCCGACTTTGTGGGTCCCACTCCCAACTCGGGCTTGGGCTGTACGCTGGAACTGGGTTTTTTTTTTCTCCCCTCATCCTCTGGCTAGAATGTCCGCTGGAGCTGCTCTTATGCCTTTTTTTTTCTTTCTTTTTTATCATGAGATTTTTCTACTAGTAAGAGCATCTCCACCCACAAGGGCTAAGTCTAGGGCAAGGGCAAGCAAGGGCTGACACTATTCACATAAATAGTGTCAGCCTTGCCATTTGTGATTCCACCCATGAGGGCTAAGTCTAGGGCAAGTATAAGGCAATTACTATTCACTTAAATTTATTTTTTATTTTTTATACTTAAACCATTGATTTTGATAAGCTTTTCGGATAAGATTTTCAATTCCCAAGTGTTAATATTTATCGTAAAATCCTCACTTAAAAATCAAGATAACATTTTCGGATAAAATTTTGAAATTTTTAGTTAATAAAATTTTGGAAAGTGAATAATATTGGTAGGTATGTATAGAAAAAATTTCAAGAATTTTTTGATATTTTTTCAATTTTTTTTAGCCAAAAATTGGACAACCGTTGGATTGTGCAAGATTTTTTGATTGGAGGCTCCAGGAGAAGCCACATGGCTTGTAACCATTGGGCAATGTGGGCTGGTGGGTCCAACAGTTAAAAAAGATTGAAAATCAGCTGCTGACGTTAGCAGCCCGAGGGCAACAGCCCAGTCAAGATCTGCCCTTGGGCTTGCCAGGGTTGGTGGGACCCAAGGCTTGCCCGGGCTGCAGGTGCTGCGTTGGAGTGCGAAACTGGGCTTCGGGGGGCCTTTTGCCCGGGTTAATGCCTAGCGCTGAAAGTGCTCTCATAGAATAGAATTGGCCTTGGCTTGCTAGCACTTCCTTTATTCTTAATTCGTTCTACAAATTGTTTTCCTTTCCTAAAGTTTCTAAGTAACCAAACACAGAATGAAAACGTAAAGTGATGCATAAACTATCAAGCTTTATGTTCATGGATTATAATTGAATTTGTTCTTGGATGTTCCATTGACTTAGTGACAACATTATTGCAATGGACAAATTTGTACTAATGGAGCACCATGTGAATTATTTAACTCCGCAATATAAAAACAAAAGGTAGATCAATTGTGAAATAATATATTCAGCTTTTAGATAAGCATTCTATCTCCAGTACTAGTTGGTCCAGTCAAAATCAATCGTGAACATACATATGGTTGGCGTGGAAGATATGGACCAAGAAATGGTGAGATGATACAAAAATCAATATTAAATTATCAATTAAACAAACAAATAATAATTGATCATACCTCGAGCCACACAGTCTCTTCCTATTCGAGTTTGCTAATCATACAAATACAGAGATAGTCAAATCAGAAATAATAGTAATAATAATTATTATTATAATAAACATGTTATAAAGAAATAATAAATATAAAAAAACCAGAAGAAATGTTGGGTGGCTGCTGAAGAAGAAAAACAAAGTCTTGGTCAGTCAATGCCCCTGTTTATTTTATTTTATTGGGTAGTTTTATTTTATTGGGTGGTTGCTGAAATGTTTGGTAGTTTTTTTATTTTATTTTTATAAATGTTGCGAAAAGAGGTCTTGTCAGTAATCAATTAGTTCTAGGTCGTTTTTTCGGAAAACAAAGTCTTGGTCAGTCAATGCCCCTGTTTATAAACTTCACGAAATTGCCTAGTTAGTACACTGGCGGCCGCCGACCCAATCAAAGACAAGACAACTGTGGGCAGCTCCCCACACTTACAAAAAAAAACCTTCAGCCGTCCGTATAGTCCCATTTAAATTCACAATTTTTAATTATTTTAAAGTCCTTCCTAAATAAAGGCCCCACATAGCCCATTCAATACATACTTAAAGTCCAAAACTTATATTAAAAAAGAAAAATCCTAAACCCTATATTAAAAAAAAAGATAGAGAACCCACCAAATTCACTTATTTTGTAATTTTGTAGAGAATTTAGCCGCCGAGTTGGAGTTGTCCGGACAATGTGTCAATACTATTAGTATTCAAAGTTTGAAACAACACATGATGCACACGGATAAACGAAAGTCTGGGTCAACCATTAGCCCACAGCTTTTTTTCACAACACAAGCAGAATAACCCACTCTTCTCAGTAAGCCCACAGCTTTTTCTCACAGATCATCCTTATTCTCTTCATCTGATGAAGTTTTATTGACCCAATTAAGAGAGAAAACAAAAAAAGGAAAAAGGACAAAAAGATCATCCCTATCCTCTTATCTTCTTGCAATTGCGTGGTAAGTGTTTTTATCAGTTGAAGCTTAATTTCCTGATGAACAATGGCGGAACCATAAATTTTTTTGGGGGTGTGCTAATTTTTGTTTTGTTTTTTTTGTTTGTTTTTTGTTGTGGTATGGGAGTTCTATATAAACAATGAGAACCTTTTTATTTTTATTTTTATGCTAATTGATATAGTGAGAGAACCAAGTGGGAATTAGAAACAAAAACTGTGGGAAGCAGAAACATAAACAAAAGTACAATTTGTAGGAGTAACATATCCAAAAAGAGAACTGGATATAGAAAACAATGGTTCCCAAAAAAAAAAGATAAGTGAAGGGAAAGGTAATGAAAAAACAACGAAACAATACAAAATTGAGAGAAATGACTGAGTTTATAACACCAACCAGACAATACAAGAGGCACTCGCGTGGCCTCCAAACCAAAAAGTAATAAAAGACAACTTATATTAATATATATATGCAGTCAGTGTGTGACTTTGTGAGCTACTTCAAAAATGGTGGGCTAATATTCGTGGGAGTAGGAAATACCTTATAAAATTTGCACCAAACCAAATATTTTATCATGTAGTTCTGCCTTTGCTGATGAAATAAATATATATGTAATCTCTCTCCCTCACTATCTACGTTCAAAGGCTTCTGTATAATAGTATCTAAAGCACTTAGGTTCAAAGGCTTCTCCCTCACTATCGACGTTATGTCTTTACAGCGCCGTGATGATCATCTGACCAAAACCATAAGGTTAGTTTTTGCAAGATGTAGCCGTTTGATAATATAAGATGATTATTTGGCGTGCCCCGCTGAGTATCATCTCACTTTCTACGATATCGTAATATATTTTAATTGACTTGTCATTTGATGTTGGGTTAGATATACTCTAATTTGTTAAGTCTGGACTTACCTCAATTTTCTGATTGCACTTTTCTTTTAATTAGCGACGCACCAGGTAAACTGGCACGATGTCTCCCATCCAAAGTTAAAGAACTTTTAAGAAAGAAATGTCTTTCAGATTCATTCTGGAACAAGATGATTGTAATTTCATGTGTTATTGCAATTTCCCTAGATCCCTTGTTCTTATACATTCCATTCATCGATGAGGGAAAGAGATGCCTTGGAATGGACAAAAGGTTGTGGGATGTGGCTCTGATTTTGCGATCTCTAACGGATATCACTTTCGTGGTGGATATTGGATATCAAATCTATGAAGGGCTTAATCAAGCCTACAAGGAGATCAACGGAAGGAAGTCGGACTGGCAAAAGGATTGGCAACCGACGTTAATAAGAAGAGATGAGATAATTCCATTTGCTAAGATTTTCGCTCGGGATTTGACGTGGCGTCCTTTGGTGACTGACCTTCTCTCTGCTTTTCCCATGCCACAAGTAATAAGAGAAACGCAAATTTTTGGTGTAAATTATGAGCTGTAGACAGCTTTAATTACTACGGACTTCTAACCCATTACTATTATTCTTTTGTGCAGCTTCTAATGAAAGTTTTTTTCAAAATGTGGTGGTCGGGATATTCAGAACCGAGAAAGGTTGTCAACTTTTTTCTTCTCATCCAATATCTGCCAAGAATTTATCGAATTATCTTAGCTTCTTCCGAACTTACAAGGACCATCAGAATACCGATCAAAGCTATATTCAATTTCTTTTTATACATTCTTGCTAGCCATGTGAGTTTCACTTCCATATTTTTTCATTTTACTACGGACTTATTTTGGTAATTGATAAATGCTTGATGAAGCTTAGTTTGATTTACAATAAACGCATGATTGGAAAGTGACTATTGATGACCTAGAGTGAGTCTAGGTGTCAATACAATTTCTCTCTCAATAAATTATCATATCGATGATTAATGCTTAGACCTATCAATTAATTAATTATGTTGTCATAGGTTATTGGAGCCTTTTGGTACTTCTATTCCATTGAACGAGAGACCCTCTGTTGGCACCAGGCTTGTCAAAATCAAATAGATCCCGAGAGATGCATGAGTACCTTTTATTGTGATCATGACAATTCTGCCCAACCAAATATTACATTTTTTGATGAACATTGCAACATAGATGTTCCATACAATGCTACAGAGCCGTTTAAGTATGGAATATTTCTTGATTCCCTTAAGTCTGGTATTGCGGGGAATAAACATTTTCCAACAAAGTTATGCTACTCCTTCTGGTGGGGTCTGAGAAATTTGAGGTTTGCTTGCACATTTATATCTATTTTAAAATTTCACTATTTTATTTTGTATCCTCTATTAATCAAATATATATTTTTTATACTAACAATTTGTTTGTATGTCCTTAATCACCATTTGGTCACTATTATATCAAATATAGGGGCCCAATTATTAAAAAAATTCAACATAAAATGGACTGTAATAACACACCAAAAAATCCATTTACAACATAAGAAAGAGGCTTCAAATTTCCTATAAATTATCAAAATGCCATCGATTTCTTAAAACAAGCCCAACCCCCAAAACTTCATACAAAAATTCAAAACCCTCAATAGGGCATCAAAGTAATTTAATAATCAAAATTAAATTTAATAGGGTCATCTGTCATTTAGTGTTTGTTTATAAATATTAAATGGTGTAAGGTTTATTTATATCACTAATGCTAAAAATGGATATATAACTAAATATCTCATAAAAAAAAAGTCTTCAACATAATATGATTCCTATTGTAAATCTTCTTTAATTACTCCTATTGTATATGATATATATTAAATATGACTACTTTTCCTTTTATGTGGTAACAAAACTTACAAGGAGGATCCTTTTAGGAATCCCCCATTCCTCTGATCATACAAAAGCTTAATAGGAAAAATAGAAGAAGGAAATAACTGTTAGAGAACCAAATAAGTTTTACTTTTATAACTACTTTCTTCTGCCATTCATTAGTACGTATCTCACATTTTGCTTGGTCCTTCACTTACTTTTTGCAGCAACTTTGGCACGAATCTCGCGACAAGTAGTTCTCTGTGGGAAAACTTGTTTGCAATTCAAATTTCTATCACTGGCTTGCTATTATTTGTATATCTCATTGGAAATGTTCAGGTTAGTAATAAATCTCTCTCTTAGATATCTATTTAGTTTACTTTACTTTACTTCAGCTTCAGGGGCGAACGTCTATCTTACGTAAATGTACATCAATTTGAAATAACGTTGTGAGGTTCACTAGGGGCAGAGCCACACTGGGACCAGTGTGGTCACAGGCCCCCACTCAATTTTTTAATATTTTAAATTTAATATACTGTTATGTATTTGTATATGTATATTATTTCAAATACTTTATGTTTTGATATGTACCCACATGTGTTGTGGAGGATCTATTAATGCACAAGGAGGTGCTTCAAATTTCTCATGTACTCAGCTGGTAGTGGTGTACTCCAAGTGTACAAATTACCTTATTTCCATTTTCAACATTTAAGTAAATGTCTTTCTCCTTTTACTTTCATTTATTTTTATATTACTCCATTTACTTAAGTTTACAATGTAAATAAGGAAGTACCCCCTATTTGGATTCAAATAAAAATACTAAAAAATCACATTCCCACCAAATCAAAATATGAAAAATCGGTTTTAGTGCAAAATACGATTTAGGCTAAAAATGATGGCTCATTAAGTTAATATATACTTCATACTAAAATCCCATAAAATCAAGTTTTCTTATTTGATGTGTAAGGAATAAAAGCCGCCAAAAATTATCTTGAGAAAATGATTATTCCGAAAAACTATTTTTCATACTTAGTCAATATTTTTACATAAAACATTTTTTCATATATGATATGAATGCATGAAGGGACCTAAGGTTTTTTTCAGTTTGTGAAATTTTGATTTTTTTCTTTCTATTGGTTTAATGGGGGAAAAAGCTTTAAAGATATTTGCTAAATCGCTACTATTTGTCTATCTCTTGCAATTTTTCTTGCTCAGAATGTATTTTTCTATCCCTTTGTTGAGGACAATTATGATTGCAACCAATAAGCAATATAATTCTTGACATATGTGATATATATATATATACATACTATTTTTCGTATGTATTGTGAGTTCGAATTTTTGATTCTTTATAATTTGTAAGAGGCCCCCACACACATGAAATCCTGGCTTCGCCACTGAGGTTCACTAAGAATTTTATTTCAACTATTTGAGATGTCTGCCTTCGTCCTTCTTAAAAAATTAGACCTAGAAAATCACTGAGGCATCAAGTTTGGACTAACAGAATAAACAAACACAATGCTTTAAGAAAACACTAAAATGATAATTATTAATTCATTGGTCAAATGGTTTTGAAATTAAGTGATTTTTTACATAAATTTTTTCTGTAGCAATACTTAAAAGTTAGATGTTCGGATCATTGATATACACTTGTAATTTACTATTTGTGCTTAAATGTACCTTCAGACATTCATTCAGATGAGAACCACACAATCTGAGGAAATTAGGAAGAAGATTGAATTTAAAAAAGAAGCGACAGACATGTGGATGGAGAAAAATGCCATTCCTGATGATAAAAGGAAGGAAATCAGGAAAATGATAAAAAGAAGCGACAGACACCTGGAAGGGGACAAAGATGCTGTTTTGGAGAATCTATTCAATGTTGTTCCCGGTTATATGCAAAAATTCCTAAAGCATTTTCTCTGCATGAAAATTCTAAAAGAGGTCTCTCTCTCTCTCTCTCTCTCTCTCTCTCTCTCTCTCTCTCTCTCTCTCTCTCTCTCTCTCTCTCTCTCTCTCTCTCTCTCTCTCTCTCTCTCTCTCTCTCTCTCTCTCTCTCTCTCTCTCTCTCTCTCTCTCTCTCTCTCTCTCTCTCTCTCTCTCTCTCTCTCTCTCTCTCTCTCTCTCTCTCTCTCTCTCTCTCTCTCTCTCTCTCTCTCTCTCTCTCTCTCTCTCTCTCTCTCTCTCTCTCTCTCTCTCTCTCTCTCTCTCTCTCTCTCTTAAGATCCAACACTTAATAAATTTACTAAACAGAAACCAGGACATTAGTCCAATTTACAACGAATTAATTTATATCGTTGAACTTATATAGATGAAGGAATCTCGCTTTGTGTTTAAACATCGATCAATTTTAAATGTACAGGTTGATCTCCTTCAACTTATGGATGACAGTGTGCTGAAAATGATGTGCGACTGTCTGAAGCCAGTGACGTACGCGGTAGATCACATCATATTTCCAAAGGAGCACCCAATTGACCGCATGCTTCTCATTATAAAAGGCACTGTATTGACCTACAGCATAACTCCTATTCCTAGCCTTACACCTGGTGAAGAAACAACAAAAGATTCTGGTGCTGCCCCATCAATGGCCACCAAGCAACTTGGGAAAGGTGGTGTTTATGGAGAAGAGCTTCTGACGTGGGCATCGCCCGAGAAAACTGGGATTGACAACCTTCCTACCAGCAACGAATATGTGAAATGTCATACAAAAGTAGAAGGCTTTGTTCTCTCAGCCCAGGACTTGCTAAAGGTAGTCTCCAAATCCAAACAGTTGTGGAAGTTAAACATAGGCCCTTGATCTCCCTCGCAACTTCTACAGCGGCTGGTCCGGGACATTATGTACGGATATCCAGTTTTTATTTACTTGTGTTTTTGAGTGCTTGTATCGTACTTATGCCGTAAACTGCTTCCATAAAGAAGGAAGAAGAACATCAACTTGAAATTAAATCTTGTATGTCGTAAACAGTTTGAGGTTTATATTGCAAGGTTTGCATGCTTTTTAATTTAATTACATAAATCAATAATAATGCAGTCACTTACCCCGGGGTAACTTGGTCAACTTAATTCAATAAATGAAGAGGATAATAATAATGCAACTTACTAAACTAAATTGATTTATGACAAGTTGTTGTTTATAGGAATAGGATTAATCAAAGAAAAATTGTACGCATCGATCAAGCAACTTTGTCTAAATACGCTTTTTTTAATTTAAAAAGAAGAAGTCTTTCCAACGGCAATCACATCTCGAATTTCATTTCATATTAATAATGCAGTCATTCTCTAAGAAACCAATTGCTTCTATTGCAATCTTTATTTTTTCCTTTATTTCCGGTTTTACATTTTGTCTTTCAGTGATCAAATCAAAGATATATACAAATTAAACGACTGATCAATTATATTTAATAACTAGTGAATTATATACAAAAATTGACAAATAAAATTGTACATTATTGTGAAATATCGTGTATATATATATATATTAATTGAATATTTTTTTTCTATTTAGTTTATAATAATGAAAGCAGGAGGTGGCTTTACCACATGCAAATTTCGTAAATAACTTACAAGCGGCTACTATTAATATTAGAGTATGAATTTCTTTACTTGGATAACAAGTTGTTACCAGCCAATAGGTAAACATTGGATTGCCGCCTCTTTTATTGTTTAAATAGGAAACCTTCTACATCAAGAACTTGCATAGAAATACACGCGAAGAGGAAACAAAATGGAGAGAAAATAAAAAAAAAAAGAATGAAAGATAGTAAGAGAGGTAGATAGAAGAAGAAGTATTGGAGGGAAATAGAAGATTGGGTTTGTGAATGCGATGGAAAATTGGGAAACACCTAATATTTCTACCAAAAACTTTGGTGTCAAGGTAGGGATTTCTTGGGGGCCTTTTACAGAGATTGATTTAATTAAATTTCGTGCACATTATATTATGCATGGTATTATAGTTTAGTTGACATTCCTTGTATTGGGTGTTTACATATTCTTTTACTATTTGAACAGTGTTGACATAATTATATATACATTTGTGATATTGTAAATGGTTACATTGTTGTGAGATAAATAGGATATGTGAAAGACATAATTATATCATGTCATGGAAATTGGTTGGAATTGTTGGGTTGAGAAAATAATGATGGAAAAATAGGGTAATGGAAATGATCTTTTGTGTAGTTGAGTCTAACTCTTAGCAGGTACCAGATCTTAAGGATCCCATAGTACACATGGTTTTTATTGGGTGATACGGGACTAGCGATAGAGAGTTAGGCAAAATGACTAACAAAAAGGGATTTATGGGATGAATGAGATGGGGAATAGTTCATATAAATGAGCATTCGGGATCAAATGGTATAATCATGGTATGGGACATGCAGGTTTGCTTGTCCAGTTATATGAATTAATGGGAGTAGATGAAGAGCATTCATGCATTATTATTAATAATGTGAAATTTGGCTGTGTGATTATATGTCACTTAATTTAGTTATATCAATTTCTTGTAAAAAGATGACAGGACCCGACCCGAATTCCCCCTCGAAACTCGTGTCGAATCCTGTTATCCGACCGACACCCGAACAATGTCGGACCCACTACTAACTTTACACATCTCTCCCAAACTTTTAAGAAAAATGGGTTGAGACCTCTACTGAAAATTCGGCAAAGTCTCCCCAGTAAAATGGACTTTTACCAAAATAACACCTGTAAAAGACGACAAACTATTAATCTCAATTGGCAGCACACACAAGATAAGGCACACACAAATTTCACATGGCCTCCTACTAGAGTTAAACTTACGAGGGTAGTTTCCAAATAAACAACAAGAACGACAAACAAAGTTTCCTAAATCTATGATGTAATTCAGCTCCTGACAAGAAGAATCAAGTTTACAAGCTCAGAAAGTCATTGTATGGGTTAAAATAATCTCACAGGGCATGGTTTGGCAGATTTACTAAATCTATGAAGAATTTTGGATATACACAGAGTAATTCAGATCACACATTGTTCTTGATGCGTGATAAAGGAAAACTTACTGCATTGATTGTTTATATGAATGACATTGTTCTCCAAGGGATTTTCCTGCTAAACAATACGACCATTGGAAAGCAAAAAATAAAGTCAATGTGTGGGCACATGAACATCAAACGCATTGTAGCACGACTCAGGGAAGATAGCAGAAGTGAAGTTTAAACATGTTCAACTCAATCATATATGGTTAAGTATATATATGTTTTCCTCACTGCAATACCAGTGTTTTTGTTCCTCTAAGATAATTAAGGAAGTATCAAAAACTAAATTCATAGACGATAGGTTAAACATAAGGAATAATTCTACCACTAAACTTTAGTAGTTAATACGGATCAATATCCACTTCCCATACCATATTTAAGATTATAACCCTAACTTCTTGTATCCTTCTATTGGACCATACACAGATAAAAACCCACTAAGAAGGTAACTTCCATATATACATGCAAACGAAGTGTTTAACTGAAATTCAAACTCATAATTGGAGGCTGGAGCCCAGACAATCAATCTAAGCCCCATAAAATTTAAAATGAAGTTTTTAAATGGATCAATAATAAAATCTACCTTAGATATTAGCCAAGCTTTCTGCAAGTGATTAAGAACACTAGAGGAGCTTGAAACGAGGGTTTTAACATGAGTGCATAAAGAAAGAAAGAAAAGCTTGGCATCTTGTGGTCAATTAATCCCAAACATCAAATACATAATAGCAATACCATCATTAGAAATCAAATGTATGTCAATCCATGTATACACAAACATCAAATACATTATAGCAGAAACGAAGTTTAAACACTTTTAACTCAACTGTATGTGTACACTATTATTTGGAATTAAGACATGACACTTCATGTAATGTTCTTCCCCTTTGATGTACCCTATGGCAACTCTTGGAATAAACTTTTAGATGCCTAAAACGCGTCACCAGGACATAGTTAAGTATATGTTTCCCTAAGATAAATGCGACCCAATCTTGAAATAGAAAACTTTAAATGAGGGCATAATTAAGGAGGTATCTAAAACTAAATTCAAAGAAGATAGCTTAAACAGAAGGAATAAATCTTCCACTAATTTTTAGTAGCTACTAGAGATCAAGATTCCATTTACCAGTACATATTTAAGTTTATGAGCCTACCTTCTTGTATCCTTCTATTGGACCGGAGACAGATAAAACTTCACTAAGAAGGTAAGTTACATAATTGGAAGTTGGAGCCCAGAGAATCAAATCTTATCCCCCACAAAATTTAAAATGAAGTTTTCAAATAGATCAATAACAAGATTTACCTTAGTGATTAGCCAAGCCTTCTCCATGTGATTAACAAAAAACAAATAAAAAAACCAATTTGAAGTCAGGATCAAGTACACATATTTGATTTTTGGCCGGCCCAAAACAAACAAAAACATGTAAATGCTTTCTTTTTTATTATTGGTGTAGATTTGTCATGGCTTTGTCACATAATAAAAGGACATGGGTCCTTGTTTTGTCATCATCTTGTTTGGAATGTGAACCGGTAAACAAGAATTAGAGCCGGCTTAGAAAACTTCAACTTGGACTGGAAAAGTAGAGCGTACAAATTAGTACTGAGGAGGAGGAAGATACATTCCTCTTGAAACACACTGGCTTTGATTGGATTGGATGGCCTTACATGGGATTATTCTGCAACTCTTCTTAGTGGGATTGGTTGTATTAGCAGCTGCAGAAGCTCAAGCCTTGCCTGGCTGCCCAAACCAATGTGGAAATTTGTCAATTCCATTTCCATTTGGCATGGCTAAAGGCTGTTACCTCAGAGATGAGTTTTTCATTGATTGTAATGAAACCAACCAAACCCCAACACCATATTTCAATGGAACTGGGATCCCAATTTCCAACTTATCCCTTAATGGTGAGTTACAAATAATGCAATTTGTAGCCAGGGATTGCTATGACCAAGATGGTTCTTTAAACACAAAACTCAGCAACACCCCAAGGCTCAAGCTTTTCCCTCCTTACACAATCTCCGGCACCAAAAACAAGTTCATTGCCGTTGGTTGTGACACTTACACAATCTTCGAAGGTGTTCGGGGCAAAGAAAAGTACATAACAGGGTGCATGACCTTCTGTGAGAGCCTTGGAAGCATTAGTGAGTCTTGCTCTGGCATTGGGTGCTGCCAAACTTCAATCCCAAGTGGACTTCAAATGCGTACCGTGACAATGAGTAGCTACTACAATCATACATTTATATGGGACTTCAACCCCTGCAGCTACTCCTTCATTGTGGAAGAAGGCCAGTTCACATTCTCTAGTAAAAGTTTCCAAGAACTGAAATCTATAAGCCGGCTTCCGATGGTTCTCAACTGGGCAATTGGGGATGAACCATGTGATGCAGCTCAACATCGGCAGGATTATGCATGCAAGTGAAACAGCACATGTGTCAACCCCCACAATCTGTCTGGTTATTTTTGTGAATGCTTGCCAGGTTATGAAGGAAATCCATACCTCCCAGACGGTTGTCAAGGTACTGATTATGATCTCTTATATACATCTAATTTGATAATTATGAGCCTTAAATATGTGTTTGCTAATGGAAATAGATCCTCTGTTCGTTTCAGATACCGATGAGCTAGATTTCAAACCCCTGCAGTGCAGGAGCGTGTGTAAACGTACTTGGAAATTATTCTTGTGTATGTCCAAAAGGTTTCAAAGGCGATGGAATGAAAGCTGGAACAGGTTGCAGCAAAGACAACCCCAGCAATCTTTTTAAGGGCATTCGCTTGCTTACTATTTCATTGGGTATGCACATCTGGTGAACTGTTAAAATGCATCCTATATTTATTCAAGTAGATTATTATACAAAATACTTATGAAATCAAATCTGGTTGTGATTTGCAGCTACGACAGTAGCCTTGTTGGTTTTGCTGGTTGGAAGTTCATGGACTTACTGGGGAAAGAAGAAAAGGAGGTTCATCAAACTCAAAGAAAAATACTTTCAAGAAAATGGTGGC